AATCCACCACTCATCGCCCGGCACCCTCCTCTAGACGCATGAATACCTTCCCAAGTGCCTCCTTTTTGATGCGACAGGAGCGTTGACGTCACCTGCCCCTTGTACTTTTCCTGAACCTGCTGTACTCTCTTACCTGAGGCGCAATGATATGGTCACAACCAGGGATAAATATATTTGGTGTGAAGGTACATAATACCGGCCTTAACTTTGCTTACCGGCATGATGAGAGTGCCGCAACTTGGTCAAGCCCTGCCGCAGCATCCCTCACCTCCCGGCTACACAGCACACCACCTCTCTGTGTCTTCCACTCCGCCAGCTTCTACGGCGAGTGAGAGGGGATGTGTAGAAGTGAACACATCTATATGAGACACAAAAAGCTTGTCAAGCGTCTACCGTTCCCTGACGCTTCTCTCGTGGCCATCCCAGGACTTGTGGGAGGGCGAGTGTAATGGAGAGGCTAGGAAGCCGGCGAACGAGGAAAAACTCTTTCCACAGGCATTCAGGCCTTTCAATCGCACAACTTGTTGCATCACAAGCAGAATATCGCGCAGTCTTTTATCCATTGATGGTGTTTTAACGGTGTTGACTTATATCCTTCGGATACCGCAGGTAGCAACGGGTGTTAGCACCGTCGGAGCACTACGCTTCGGAAGATACTGAGGTAGTCCGGGAAGTAATCAGTGACCTCCCCGTACACAAGGTAAGGACAATATGTTTTCTCGCGTGTGCATGCTTCATGTAACATAGTGACACAATTATGGCATGAAGCTTAGGGAAGCTTAGGGTAGTGGAAAGGAAGACTGTGCAGATAAAGATGCCGTTCGACATGCATCAACATCATGACTCATTACTTTCCATCCATCTCCTTCTATCCATTTGGCCGGGTGAAAGTCCAGGGAAAAGTGAGAGATGGAGGCATTACTGGGCAGAGTTGCAAAGTTAGGTGCCGGCGTGGCAGGGGCCGCATTCGTAGGAAACAACTTTTTGTTCAACGGTAAGCGGGCCTGGTCACTATTTCCTCAGACGATTGCAGACGCCTGATGTCTAAGATCAAGCTGTAAGGCCGACACGCATGTTCTACAAGTATGACAAGGCTCAAGAGATAGATAATGTTGAACTTAATCAACTCCATCATTTCCCCCCATGGTAAAAACTCACCACTCCCGTGGCGTAGTGGAGGGCGGGCACCGCGCTGTAGTGTTCGACCGCTTCAAGGGCGTGCTTCCGAAGCCTCTGGCCGAAGGAACAAGCATCGTCATCCCCGTACTGCAATCGGCTTTCTTGTTTGACGTGCGCTCCAAGCCTCGGGTCATAAATTCCGTGACGGGCACTAAGGATCTGCAGCACGTAAACATCTCCCTGCGGGTCCTCTCCCGGCCTGTGGAACAGATGCTTCCCGAGATCTTTTCAAAGATCGGTCAAGACTTCGATGAGCGAGTTTTGCCCGGTGTGGGGAATGAGGTTTTGAAGGCGGTGGTGGCCCAGTACAACGCGGAGGAGCTGCTGAGCAAGCGCGAGCAAATCTCGGATCAGATCAGAGTCAACCTTATCAAGCGCGCCAGGGAGTTCCACCTCATCCTAGATGACGTCTCCATCACCCACTTGACCTTCAGCAAGGAGTTCACCAAGGCCATCGAGCAGAAGCAGGTGGCGGAGCAGGACGCAGAGAGGCAAATGTACATAGTGCAGCGGGCAGATCAGGAACGTAAGGCTGTGGTCATCCGTGCAGAGGGCGAGGCGGAGGCGGCGATGAAGATCTCCAAAGCCGTGGCAGACTTCGGGACTGCCTTGATCGAGATTCGTCGCATCGACGCGGCCCGGGACATTGCGGACATCTTGAGCAAGAGTCGCAACATCACTTACCTGCCGGGGGGGCAGAATTCGGGCTTGCTGCTGGGCTTGACGGCCGGACAGGGCTAGACTAACGGTTTTGAGACAAGGAGAACAGGATGGAGGGGATCGGCGGCTTGTGAAGAAAGGAATTTTTGCATGTGCTCAGGACGGAGAGAAGCGGGGGGTTGAGGCAGACACCATCGTACTAAAAGCAAGCAGAACGCCCCGAGATAAGCGTGCGATGCTCGAATCGGTTTGAGTTTGATTTAGATGCTTTACTTTTACACTTTCCGCCGTCATCCGCCTTCTACCACCCACTCCTTCGTGTTGAGCTACTTGAGCTCCTCCACAGTCGCGTACACCGCCGCCCGCATCACTTCCTCGGGTGCTCTCCGGCGCGTCCAGAGCTGGAATTGCTCCACCCCCTGGGCGATGAGCATCTCCGCGCCTTGCACGTAGGGGCACCCGGCGGCTCGAGCCTGAGCGAGCAAGCTTGTTTTGGCCGGCCGGTAGGCGGCGTCCATCACCACAGGTCGCGCCAGGAGCATGGCGTCGGGCAAGACGAACTCGGCACTGGCAGGCACCGTGGATACCACCACGTCCAAGTGATCTTGCTGGCCCTCCGTGGCGGCCAGGACGGCTTCCGGCGACAGAGACTCCAGGACCTTACCCCCGAAGCGACGCGCTACGTCGTGGGCTTTGCTGGGGGTGCGGTTGAAGACGAGAAGGCGCATACCGAGGGAGGTCATGCCATAGGCCGCGGCGAGTGCCGTCCCCCCCCCGCCCACCACTAGGGCAACTCGAGGCCTGCCCTTGTCGTCCCTTAACCCGCGCCCCGCCTCCTGGAGCCGGCGGGTCACGGGCTGGACGATGCCTTTCCAGTCCGTGTTGTGGCCGACCCAGCGCACGGACCCCGTCGTCGGGTCCTCCTCCACCACCACCGTGTTCACCGCCCCGATCGCCTCAGCGGAGGGCTCCACCCGGTCCAAGAGCGGGATGACGGCTTGCTTGTGCGGGATGGTCACGGAGGCGCCCCCAAAACGCCCTTCCTTCGCGCGCGCCTTGAGATCAAGCACGTCCTCGGTCTCAAGGAGGCTGTAGGTGTGCGGCAACAGGCAGTGTTGAAAAGCGGCCGTATGCATAGCCGGGGAGGGGGACTGGGCGATCGGGCTTCCGAGCAGACAGAAGGAGGACGTAGGGACCATGCCCAGGTCCTGACGCAGCCTCATGATTTCTTCCGCGGTCAATTGGCCGGGGGCGGCCACGTAGGGCAGAAGTTTGCTGGTGACGGGCGTATACCGGCTGTTCAAGACTCGGCTCAGTTTCCCGACCTCGCCCAGGCACAGCGCCACCACGGGGAGGGAAGGAGGGAGGCCGGCGGCCGCTGCCAATTCGTGCACGCGGTAGGTATCGCGGACGCTGTGAGCTGTCAGCACCACCTTGACGGCGTCGACCCTCCCATCGTGGTAGCACTCTTGGAAAATCTCCAGGGCTTCTCGGTCGGGGACGCGGCGGCCCACTACGTGGTAGGATCCCAACAGGCGCGTGGTGCCCCGATAGCCCCGCCAAGCCTCAGTTAAAAGAGACTCACGAGCCTTCCGGTCCCAGCACGCTTCCACGTCAAGCACCTCTACGCCTGCCCGCAGCCCGAGGGCCAGGAGGTCGAAGATAGCCGCCGGCTCGTTTGGGAAGGCGCCACATTGGTCCTGAGATCTCACTGTAAAAATGACGGGGAGCCTCGTGGCAGATTTTAGAATGGCGACCTGACGGAGGATGTCCCAGGGCGTCTTGTCGCGGAGAAGGTCGACGCGAAGCTCCAAGGCGTCCACGCCTCTTTCCAGCCCGGGCAGGAGGGGGAGGCACTCCCGCACGTCGGGGAAGGTGAGAGACAGGAAGAACGTGTTGGCCCCTAAGTCCAGGTCCAGCGAAGGATCCACCGCACCGTCACCGTATCCTCCCGAGAGGCGTCTCAAGTTCTGAATATGCTTCACGACGTAGGTGTACGCAATGTCGTCCTCGGCGCCTACCGCCACATCAAATCGGCTCACGGCTTGACGCTCTTTCTGCCGGTCTCGCTCTTTTCCAAATCCTGAAAAGTCATCCATTTCCACCAATCTGATGACAAGACCCAATGCACTCAGTATGGTGGCGCCCTCGTTCTCAGTAATGACAGAATCGTCAACGTCGATGATGGCGGAGGAGGATGGAAGGAGTGTGGCAGCACTCGAAGCTTGAATAACAGGCAACCCCATTGCAGTGCTCAAGGCCTCTGCCACTGCTTTCCTACAGCTGGGTTTACCCACAATATAGATGTTTTGGCAGCTACGACTGCTTTCATGTATGTCTCTTCCAATATTGCTGCTATCAGGCATCATCATGAGGGGGCCGACGGTCTGCAGAGGTTTACAGGTAGACGGGGCTTTGTAACAGTCATTGCGGTACACAGACGTCACTCCACTGGATGCCGCGGGCTTCGATGAGGACGATGTCAACGCTCTTATTGCTGGAGCGTTGCATCCCTGGACGGCAAACGCCTCCGAAATGGCGGCCCAACCGCTCAGCAAAAGGACATGTATGGTCGGGACGTACCACCGCCGTCGACGAGCAGGCAGAGGTGATGCCATGTTTAGATGGGACTGGACGCCACAGCCTGCTCGAAAATGGTTGAAGTAGATTTTCGACAATCAGATTGTGCGTGGCGACGTGATTTTCTTGTCTATGTTCGAGCTGATGGTTTGGTTCAGATACCTGAGCGAGAGCTGCCCGGATAGAAAGCTAGCGGTTGGTGGTCAATAAAGTGGGCACCGACACAAGTTATCTTAAATGTACCCCATCAGATGGCTCCTTTAGACGCTATAAGCATCTGCGGGAGAAAAATCTTCGGATACTGACACGAATGTCGCTCCTGGTTTCCTCACGGTAATGCCGTGGGCAGGCCCAAATGGGAGGAGGTTAAAACCTGACAATCTCTTTTCCTTTATATTTAAAAAGTTATTGTTCCTTTATATTACAAGCTGCAGATATTGCAAAAACGGATTGGTTAGCAGGAGCATTTTGCCTTTCAATTACTGTTGTGTACACTGCCGGTAAGGTCCTCAGAATTTTATTCGCACTCGCCTCACACCCGTTTCCCATCCCAAGCCCATAGTCTCTGTCCGCAGCAGAGACTCGTAGGGGCCCATCCACAACTGGCCCATGGACGACGTGGCAGTAGCGGCAGCGCCAGGAGCCGTTTTGCCCGCCTCAAAAGCCTCCCAAACATTTTGATCAGTGGGCAGTCCGTCCCGCTGCATAGCATAGAGCAACTGCAGGGCCAGATCGGAACGCCCGGAGACCCCACAGATGTAGAGCAAGGCCATGTAAGCCAGCGACAGATTCCCACCGGACGTAAAAACCCCGTCGATTTCTCGTCCATCCTCTGTCTCGTCTTCCAATCCTCTCGCTGCCTCCTCCACGCGGTCGACCGCATCCAGTGCCTTCAGAGAGACCCGGAGTTCCCGCTTGAAGAAACCCAGGGCCCCTTTCGCGTCCGGCCCGAATGAGCGGAGCAAAGCATGGCACATGATACCGTTCGGGGACACACCATCTTCTTGGGCTTCGTGGTACAGGGCAATGCAAAGAGCAGTCCCTCGAGGCCCCAGGTCCGCCCGGTTGATGCCGGCCATCAGGATGGTGAAGGTCCGGGCGTTGGGACGCGCTGAAGCGGTCACGGAGGGGGGGGAGGATGCGCGTCCCTGCCCAAGCTCATACCCTTGAAGCATATTCTCGTTGCCTGTCTCGGAACCCTCTCTGGTCTCCTTCGAGCTTGAGGGTCTTTTCCCCTCATGGTACATGCTCCGAAGCACAACCAAGGAGGCTTCCAGAAGGGTCCTATCCTGCAGAGACTCGAGAAGGGATATCAGCCCGCGACCCTCGCTCGAGAGAGCCGACACAGCAGGATACTCGTCTTCCAAAAGATATCCCTGCCCGTGGGACAGTCGCTCCCCGGTCTTGTCCGGCCCCTCCTCCCCCCCTTCCTCAAGAGGGGGGGTCCATCTGGGAAGGCAGGCATTGGCGTCCTTCATAAGAGCGGAGAAAAGAGAGTTGAAAGAAATGGTGTTGGGCTGACGACCCATCCGAAGAATGGCGCGAAAGGCGGCCAGGGCCCCCGGCAAGTCGTTGTGGGACTGCCCGAGCTCGTAAACCAACAGGTTGAGGAAAGGGAGGCTGAGCCGTGGGTAGTCCGCGCGCGCCTGGCCCCACAGCCGGTACACGTCCAGGGCACTCTTCTGCAGGCGGATGAGGGCTGCGTAGGTGTACATGGTGGGCGGAAACTGAGCCTTGCGCATCATGGTATGGACTGCCCCGGCCGTGGAGACTCGTCCGTTTTGCACGAGCCCGTTCAGGAGGATGTCGTAGGTGGTGCTGTCCACCAAGGCGACTTCCTTCTCCCGCTCCTTCCTCCAGCCCCCGCCTTGGCGCCCTCTCTCCCCCCTGCTCCCTCTCCGTGCGCTCTTGTCAGGCCCAGGGCCAGCAGACGAGGCCTCTGCGGCCACGGCATAGAAGTACTCCAGGGCCTCCTCCACCCGTCTCGCCTTCAGCAGCGCGTCGAGAAGGATGTTGTGCGTGACCGCCCTCGGTTCGATCCCCGGGGCCCCCCTTCTCACGTCTTCTACCATCGCCTGGGCCTCGTCGAAGCCCTTCGTCCGCGCTAGGTACCCGGCCATGATGTTCACGGTCCGTAGGTCCATGACCCTCCCCCCTTTCCACCCCCTGGGCGATGAGCATCTCCGCGCCTTGCACGTAGGGGCACCC